TCTCGGCCGTCAAGAGTCGGGGTGGCCTGGGCATAGAAAGTTTTCCTCTGATCGAGGTCAAGTACCAAGACTACACAAATCCGCACCAGTACACCAATGGCCGTGTGCCGCGCGGCAAACCATCTTACAGCGCACTGGGCTCTAACAGCTACTCTAGCCAATCAACGCTTGACTTTTGGGACGATGAAGAGTACGAGAGGAGGAATAGCTGGAAAAGTTCGTTGAGGGCGAAAGACGACTTCTTCACTTCGTTCAATACCTCTGTGCCAGATTTGAGGCGTGGGAAGAGTAAAGGAGGAATTCCAAACGGAACTAAACCACAGAGCAAAAGTAAAGCGAGTCTAGGAAAATCACTTCTCCCAAATGTCGGGTCACTATTTTCACGGGACTCGCGGGACGTGCGGGATACCCGAGAGAAGCCACCGGTTGTGTTCACACTTGGCGATGATGACGAAGAAGACGAACGAGAACAAGAAATGGAAAGAGACAATTCCATGGTTGGTCTGATCAAAACCAAAGTTTCCAGCTTGCTGGAGCCAGACGGGAATGTATCGAAATGGTTCTCTGGTTTTAACAAAAGCGACAATCCAGTTACGTAGTAAGAGAGAACAAAAATTAATTTTTGCATGTTAGTTTTCTAGATGAAAAGGCCTTTTGTTCCCGTGCTTGTTCACACACAGGAGTGCAAAATCTCTCGTGAGCTAAAAAGCATTTGGGGTGAGGCTAAAGTGAGACAAATAACTCAAAAATGGCGTGAGATCGAATGGGGGTAATGTCCAGGCGATTAAAGAAAATGCTCCCTGAAACGCTAGCTGGCTTTAAGCTTCAAAACCAACTTACACAGAGTTATAGGATAAGTTTGTAAATAGCCGCAATTTGAACATTCGCAAGCAAATTTTCCGAGCGGAAACTCCGTTGCATTCAGACATCGAGTAAACGAGAGAATAAAAAGTAATGTTCAAGCTAGTTTTCAGTGCGCATGACCACTTTCACCTTGCCACTGACCGTGGTAAAGTTAGTCTTAAATCACTGTTGACATGATTGGTGTTTGGTGTTTCAGTAAAGCTTTGCAGTTGTTGGGTGCGAGATTTTTTTTACAGTAGTTAGAACTTACGTTAATCCACTGTATTTAAAACAATGTAAACAGAGTTCGAATTAGCAAAATTCATTATTTGCGCTTGATGCTCTCGACTTCTTTTGCAATTCTGATTAGTTTTTACTTTGGATAAAATTATTCATTGCTCAAGGTGATTCAAAAATGAACCAAGGGCAAAAGACGAACTTTCTCGCGAGCTTTTATTCACTGAAATTGACATAATTTAAGGAATTTTTCATTCTTCTGTGAAATACGAGTAGCACATTAAGATTTTTGTAAACTTGAAAGAATTGAGACAAGAAGAAACATGTGTTCCGTTTAAGCTTTTGTTTATTAGAAACAAAAGCTCTGAAACAATAGACAGATTATTAAATAAAACGCTTAAGGCGATGTCTGAGTAAACTAGTGTTGAAATAGCCGTCTACATTAAATCCGCCCGCTCTGGGTAAATTGATTTTCACTCCACAAATAGAGAAAAATTTCTAAGAGATGTCATAAGGTGTCTTTTTGCGTTGACTGTTTTTAAATCATCGAATCATATTGAATGCAAAGATCAATGTTTCACGCTAGAGAGATTTGTTATCAACGAGGGTGAAACTAAAACGAAATACTTTACGGGAACATGAAAAATAATGTCAATTTTTCTCTTTATTCGCCCGACAGTTTTTGTTTCTATGCAGTGTGGTTTTTTACAGTTATTTTTTTTTTCTACCGTTTTCGAAAAATAATTTTCCTTCCTTACACCTACATAAGAATTTCACTTTAATGTTGGATAAAGACCTGCGTATTGCCTCTGCGTATTTCGGTTCAAAATTTGTGACTGTTAGTAAAATGATAGCTACGGTGAAATCTTTCAAATTATGTTAGAAAACCTGAATAAAACCAGCACTACGTCAGAGTCTACAAAATTAACTACAGAAAGTAATTATTTACGGAATTCCGTGCAGAGGTTTGTAAACCTTTTAACGAATCCCTGAGCATCAGGTCGACATTAAAATCCATTTCCTTTCTCCGTTGTCATTTTTAGCTGTACTCACGTCCAAACAGGTTCCTGTCGTTTGTCTTTGCTTATCTTTTCACCATAAACTCAGTTTTAAGCTTCTTTGAATAGGAGACAGTGTATCCTTTACAAACGTCAATGTTTTTCTTTGTGGGTTTTTCTCCTCCGTAGAATAGCGGCTACAATTGTTGTCTTCAGATAACACCGAATGTGACAGTTTAAATACCACCTGTTAACAATATTGCAGCTCGCTAAAAAATTGCCGTTGAAGTTTATTCTTAGCCAGCAATAAATAAAAGACCTAACATGAGATTTAAGGAATGATATTACCGTCGAATAAAATGCAAAACATGCTATCGGAATCAACTTCTGCCAAACAGTTCAGTTCGTTACTGAAACAACTAACTGAGAACGAATCTAAACAAAGATAAAATTCAATGCTAGAAAATATTGCGTACAATTCCAAGATATGTTTTAAAGCGGAAAGTCTAGATTCCAGATAACTGATGTGCTGCTGAAGTATTAAATTTTCCTTACCTAGATTAGACTTTTAGAAGCAGATATTTCTTGAAAGATGCAACCAACGTTGTCCTGTAAATTCTAGCTGGAGATGAAATAATCACGAACAACGCTAAATAAAAACTTATTTACGGTGGTCGTCATGGCAATAATAAGCTGCTTTTGCACACCTGCTACTAAACGGAAATGATAACTAGTAAATTTAACAACTAGGAGAAAAAAGGAATAAGAGATCTTTATGATATAATATTTAATGATTCCTAAAATAACACTTGGGTTTATTTTGCTCATAACGCTTGTTTGGTGGAGTTGATTTTGGAAGCCTATAATTACCAGATGGAATTTTTCGTAACACTCTTCTGAATACAGAGGGGTTATTTTAACTCGGTATAAAAAAAGTTACAAATAGAGCTTTTGAAATTTGGCAACTAATTTCTTGTAATATGAATATGAATTTCGCCCAGCTAAAATTATCAAGCGTGCATGCTCGTGATAATCGGTCTTGTAAACTAACTGCTAGCGCTAATCGAAAGACAAACTGAATAAACTTTTTTGTGTAGAGTGTTAAAATTACGTAACGTAACAGCAAAGCATAGTCTCGACCCAGATCGCAAGACGCGATCGTCCTTGACAGAGTAGAGCTCTGGGCCCGACAATACATGCCCGTGCTTTATTAACCTCATGCTGTGTTCAGCGCATGCGTAGGAAGTGGGCGATCAAATTGCAGATGATTAAATTTTCATATTTCTGTTAGAACGGGTAACAATTATAGACATGTGTACAGACGGGGTGTAATTAAGTTTTGTTCACGGCCTAAATTATTCAATACTTTTTTTCTTAGCGAAGGAATCCCGGCGTGATCTGTAAGAAAATGGCTCTTTAATGACGCTTCGAACTAGGAACGCTCTATCTAAGTGTTTCACTGAGTCAGGGAAAGGTTGTCTTGCCGCAATAGAGTTTTACATAACAAGATCGTTTATGGAATCATCTAACACAGAGGTACAAATTCCATTGAAATGCTGCATAATTGTTCTAAAGAGCAGGTGCCATCAGTATGGAAAATTTTTATCTTTTCTGCTATTCAAGAGTTCGTCAACAGTCTCTTTAAGGGACTTTGCATGATCAAACACAGTTTTCTATGTTGACATCACATTTTTTTAAAGAAATCTACTGTTTTCAAACTGTATAAAAGAGGGTTTAAAGTACACCGGAATTAGCAAAGAAAGCGTCGTTATTTTACAAATGTTAAATCTGTCAGATCTGATGCGAAGTATGGAAATTACGCATGATTTTTTTGACGTTGTAAAGGTTTACAAGAGTTTTCGTGGTGTAAATTTCTTCCAAAATATGTGCAAATGGTATTAATTTTACGACGTAAACAGAAATCTTGTACTGTACACAACAGGAATGCAATTACGGTCATATTTAGCGTTGCCTTGTTTAGCGAGTAACTGAAACATCTGCTTAAAGCGCGATCACAAAAAAATTCAGACAAATGAAAAAGAAAATTTGCCGTTCACAAAAGCCATCGAATCCGTCTTTCGTATAAGAGAATTTTCCTATGGAAGTTTAAAGTTTCTATTGGTATGTTTATAAGCCTGTGAACCGATTATGACCAAGGTAATTTGATTTATAGTGTAACGAATCCTGCAGTGTTTTCCAAATCATTTTAGTGATGAATTATTACGCATATAATGCGAAAATTTAATGTGTGTTTTTCTTCTAAAATTGTCCATCTCAACGACATTGAGATAAACTTATTTCAGATATTTTCAGCTGTTTTAAGACACTTTTGTTTAATTCCACACTTTACACTGTGAAAATTAGTTGTTATATGCAAAATAGATTATTCTGAAGAGATTATTCTCTAGTAAACAAGAGACTTCGTCGAATTAATGCAAAAGATTTATCAAACAACAAACAATCTAGAATTCAAGTTTGGTGAAGAGCTGCACAAGACTGCGCTTCAAGTTTGAAACTCCCAAATCTCTAAATTTGCAGGCTCCACATAGCTACACAGCATTATAACGATGTTTTGATTCGTGTCTAAGGCCTGCTTTTATTTTTTCCCAGGACTAAAGACGCGAATAATATCTGTGATTGGATTCCCACCAGTTAATTTCTTACCTAAAGTACAAACATGCCTCGATGACGTCAACTCCCAGCTGCAATGCACAGGAAAATTTAATACTTGGAGAAATGTGCCAAACTGGAGCCCGAACAATTTTGTGAACTGAGAAATGCTCAAACTTCATTTAGCAGTAGTGCAAATTTTCAAAGATTTACATATATTTTTCCATCAACCGCAGTTCTGCATCCCAAAAGAACGTGTTGTGCGCTTGACTATCAAGGCAAGGTTCCAGAGAGGTTAAATTTACCATGGTGAACTAGTTTATTGTATACCTGTTTTGTGTATTTGAAAAAGCTTGTTTTGAAGCCACAAAGTACACCCAAGTCGTTTAAGGCTTTTATAAAAGCCACAACAACAACAAGAGAACAAATCATGAAATTGCGGTTACAGAACGTTTTCATTCTAGACTTGATATATTTTCCAATATGCGTCGGTCATGTTTTTGAGGCACTCCTGTTTAGAAAAAATCGAAAACATTTTCACAGTACTTTTACAAACTGCCGAAAAATTCCTCAAAGTAGTAGCGAGACATGTATTTGATATAAGTTCTGGAACTGCGTATAATTCTCCGATCTTAAGCGCAACACTTAAACTTAAATCTGAAAACTTGCTTCCCCTCAATCATACAATTGAAAAGTGCTGTTATCTACTTTAATCTTCGTTAAACAGATAAAACTTATAGTTATCCACCTCGCTTTATAATCTTAAATCTGTTTCTGTCAATATTCCGTCTTTTAGGCATCAAACAATTTGTGTTTTGGTTAATGGTTAGAGTTACACAAAAGCTATTAGTTCCGTCCGTGTGTCAACTTATCAGATATTAAAATTAAGCTATTTTTTCCCCTTTCAGGTGTGTCGCGACACATTGCCAGTTAAAGTTTTGTTTGGCTGTATCAACCCGTGAGCAGCGGCCAGTATTGAACAGAGCTTAAGTCCGCCGCTCTCATGAAGCAGAGAAGTCTCTTCTCCAATGTCAAAAGCACTTACGGTTCTCAAGGTGTTTTTTTCGCTGGTGTCCATAAACTCAACCGAGAAGCCATCTTCCGTTAGCTCCAGTTCCACCGGCCCAAGTCGTTCTACTCTTGCCACAACAAAATTAACGCCAAACGTTTTCCAAGGCACGGCGCATGTTGGGCGAGCATTCCGAATTCCTATCCCTCAACAGACTATTGATGCTGTGAACGGTGAAATTAAAAACCCTCGCTTTACAATGAAGACATCTAACAATGGAAAGATTCTTCAAACCTCGTGGGTACAGTTTGATGCAAAAAGTCGGGAGGTTTATGGCTTTCCTCTTCCAGGCAACGTGGGCACCTTCACTTATAAAGTCGTTGTCGACAGCGTTAAAGGAGATTTGAAATATGAAATTATTTTCAAGCTTCGTGTGAAAGAGGACGGCATTGAGTACAGCCATGAATTGATTTTAACTACAGGAACAAATTTTCAGCGGTTTATGACAAACGTGGAAATGAGAATTGACTTCGCCACGAAGTTGGCACGCTATTGTTTCAACGAAAAACCAGCCAAAATCTTGGTCAAGTCGTTTAACAAAGCATCGAGAAATATGACTATTGTATTTGCGAATATTCCTTATTCTCCTTGTAATGAAGACACTTACAGCAAGCTTAGATCGAGGATACTTGACGAAGAAACAAACGTCATTGAGCAGAAGTTTCAAAATGCGCTCACTACAAGATTTCCAATCGAAAGTGCGCACTTCAAATTCTTTGGAGCCTGCGATCCCAAATTGTTCGGACCAGACCCTCCTTTTCAATGGGGTTGGTTGGCACATTTTATACCTGTTGCTATTCTTCTGTCTGTGGTAGGAATCCCGGTTACTATTTCTTGTTTAGTGAAAAGGAGCAAAACTAAACGCCCTGTTGTCCAAGAGAAGAGAACACCTCGAACGCTGCGGCGAAGAAACGAAGACGGTACAATGGACTTCACTTCGCACACTGTACATTTTAACAACCGTTACCCCTCGATGCTGTCAGTATCTAATAACTCTAAGGAAGACGGCGTAGGAGAGGACGGGAAAGATCATGGTGGAAAGGCGAATATTCCAAATGGTAGTCCCTCGAGTAAACATTTGACAGTACCAAACGCGACAGGAGGTCACCCCAGGCAAGGAACGGCGGCGGCAACAGACAGAACCAAAAATTCTGCCGATCAAAATAACCCGTTCAAATTTCCTTTCAACGTAAAGGACAGAGCATCGTTCAACGTCCGAGCCATGTGGGATGATGATGACGACGACACAGAGCGACCCCCCCTGGACATTCCTGTTTATTACACGTACAGGAACAATGACGAGGAAGAACCGTCCATGTTGAATGCGGTACTCGACATGAATTTTTCCGACATCGCAGGAAACATTTCTACAAAACTGAAAGGTGTTAAGTCAATGTTGAACATTTCCCAAGCGGAAACTGCGGAGAGACAAGAGGCAACAAAACCTTTCGGCGAAAGCTCAACTTCTGGGCTAAGTTTATCGTCGAAACTGAAAGATTTGGGAAAGTCTATGCTTAACATTTCTGCACCAACAAACGAATCAGTGGGGGCAACATCAGCCGGGCAAACAACGCTGCCTTCTCTCTCAAATAAGCTACGAGATTTTGGGAAATCTATGTTGAACATATCCATAGGCGCACAAAGCGACGACAAGAAAGATTCCGAGAACAGTGAAGAATGTCAGAAAACTAGCTTCGATGATTCTGATGACAGCGAATCGTACATTTACAAGCCTCGAGAATACGAAGATGTACGAAGTGAGCGACAACGTTACGAAGACGCACGAAGGCGTCCCGATTTCACGAGAGACGACGGTTCTGTCCATCGGCAGTCTATTTGTCGTCAAAGTAACGCGTCAGAGTATGAACTCTCCCAGTATATCCCAGCTCGCCGACACAGTTCCACCTCTGATAATCAACAAAGAATTCTTTCCCAAGGCCGCCGCCATAGCATAAGTTCTGATTATCACCAGAGAACTCAAGAACACTTTGATAACTATGATTATGATTTCGGCGAAGGTGAGCGGAAGAGTAATAGAAGAGCTTCTAGGGAGAGCGACTTTGACGAATACCCTGATTCTCTGTTTGACGCACCCAGTGAGCAAGGCCTTGAAGATAAGATCGACCACGAAAAATCGATTTTTGACACAGATTTTGATGATGAACACACGCCCTGTATCACCAAGCCGACGCCCATTTGGAATCACGTCTCGGCCGTCAAGAGTCGGGGTGGCCTGGGCATAGAAAGTTTTCCTCTGATCGAGGTCAAGTACCAAGACTACACAAATCCGCACCAGTACACCAATGGCCGTGTGCCGCGCGGCAAACCATCTTACAGCGCACTGGGCTCTAACAGCTACTCTAGCCAATCAACGCTTGACTTTTGGGACGATGAAGAGTACGAGAGGAGGAATAGCTGGAAAAGTTCGTTGAGGGCGAAAGACGACTTCTTCACTTCGTTCAATACCTCTGTGCCAGATTTGAGGCGTGGGAAGAGTAAAGGAGGAATTCCAAACGGAACTAAACCACAGAGCAAAAGTAAAGCGAGTCTAGGAAAATCACTTCTCCCAAATGTCGGGTCACTATTTTCACGGGACTCGCGGGACGTGCGGGATACCCGAGAGAAGCCACCGGTTGTGTTCACACTTGGCGATGATGACGAAGAAGACGAACGAGAACAAGAAATGGAAAGAGACAATTCCATGGTTGGTCTGATCAAAACCAAAGTTTCCAGCTTGCTGGAGCCAGACGGGAATGTATCGAAATGGTTCTCTGGTTTTAACAAAAGCGACAATCCAGTTACGTAGTAAGAGAGAACAAAAATTAATTTTTGCATGTTAGTTTTCTAGATGAAAAGGCCTTTTGTTCCCGTGCTTGTTCACACACAGGAGTGCAAAATCTCTCGTGAGCTAAAAAGCATTTGGGGTGAGGCTAAAGTGAGACAAATAACTCAAAAATGGCGTGAGATCGAATGGGGGTAATGTCCAGGCGATTAAAGAAAATGCTCCCTGAAACGCTAGCTGGCTTTAAGCTTCAAAACCAACTTACACAGAGTTATAGGATAAGTTTGTAAATAGCCGCAATTTGAACATTCGCAAGCAAATTTTCCGAGCGGAAACTCCGTTGCATTCAGACATCGAGTAAACGAGAGAATAAAAAGTAATGTTCAAGCTAGTTTTCAGTGCGCATGACCACTTTCACCTTGCCACTGACCGTGGTAAAGTTAGTCTTAAATCACTGTTGACATGATTGGTGTTTGGTGTTTCAGTAAAGCTTTGCAGTTGTTGGGTGCGAGATTTTTTTTACAGTAGTTAGAACTTACGTTAATCCACTGTATTTAAAACAATGTAAACAGAGTTCGAATTAGCAAAATTCATTATTTGCGCTTGATGCTCTCGACTTCTTTTGCAATTCTGATTAGTTTTTACTTTGGATAAAATTATTCATTGCTCAAGGTGATTCAAAAATGAACCAAGGGCAAAAGACGAACTTTCTCGCGAGCTTTTATTCACTGAAATTGACATAATTTAAGGAATTTTTCATTCTTCTGTGAAATACGAGTAGCACATTAAGATTTTTGTAAACTTGAAAGAATTGAGACAAGAAGAAACATGAGATAACAGAACAGACAAAAAAAAAAAAATCAGCAGACTTTATGAGGCAAAAAGTGCCATTTTTAACCATTTAATATGTTTTGAAAGTATTTTATTCAGTTATGTAAAGGTAATGTAAAACTAAGCTCAATGTAAACTAAATAGTAAAAACTGGCACACGAATTTCTTCCCCTCTGACGGTGAAAATTTGATTTTCAAACTTGTTCTATTAAACTAAGAATGATAAATGTAAGTTTATACTAACACGCTAACAACAAGGATGATTTGTCCGCTTACTGACTTTGCACTAAACGATCTGGCACTATTGATAGTTAAATAATTTTTCTCTTCAGTAGATCAGTCCCGGATTGAACGTTTGGTTAGCTTATGCAGGCACGCGCTTTGTAACTGGCATCACAAAGTGTCCTCGCGTATGAGGCTCCGCCCAAACTACGCCTGAGAAATTTGAAATCGCAGCTATATTTCTACGTAATCCGTCACGAAAATGGAGCTTTTCGAAAACGCTCTTCAAATCAGAGGAATTTAAAACGCCAGCTTTGGGTTTTAGTGTGGACGGAGAACATTTTGAAAACGGAGCTTTTCGTAAACGATTAAGTCACGGTACCAATCTATGATTGCCCGAATTTTCCTTAAACACAAATCCAAAATGACAGTTGATTGTTGCGTTTACAAATTTCTCCGGTGTTGTGTGAACGGAAAACATTTGATGCGTTTTAATTTTCAGAGCGAAAACACCGTTTTCAAATTTCTCTTGCGTAGAGTGGACGGGCCTAAAAATCAACAAAACACACATAATCTTGTCAATTTTAAAGAAATATGAAAATGTTTTAATAAGTTAGCCAGATATGAAATACTTGTCAAACAGTAATCGCGTTCAATCCTGAGAGGTGAGCAATATTTGCCACCAATATTGCTAGCGTCCTTGATAACTATGTGTAAAATTTATTCTAGAATTAGAAACTGTTTCGATGCTTTACATAAAATAAAACACTTTTCGTTGTGAAAGTTGTCCTATATCTTTATTTTTAGCTAATTAGATGTACACTCTGAAATTTGCAAAATTTTCTAAGCATATTTTAAGAATAAACCTCAGACTGAGATTTTGAAAAGAATATAGTTTCAGTTGTGTTGAAACTTTGTAATTACTATTCAATTATATGGTTTTTTTTCTTTAAACGGCGAAACATGTACAGCCAAAAAACAACAAAAACAGCTCTAGCCGTATGTTCGATGCTAATATAAATATGTCTGCAAAAATTTTTTGTTTCATATCAGGCTTAATTGCTTAATTGTAGTCTGGCACCTAAATGACTTCAACGCCTTCTAGGCACCAAACACGTAATTGATACCCCAATATACATCCTTTAACAGAAATGTCATACGCTATAATCTAGGAATATTCATAAAAATATTTCAGCCCATAAAATCGGCAGAAAAATAATAATATTCAGCTTGGGCCGAAAAACAACGTGTTTATTACAAAAAGGTCTACCGCTATTCAAGAATTTTGTGACCTTTTCTCAGGGCCGTGTTGTTTGAAAGCTTGGTTACTCTAACTCAGGTTTAAGAGTTAACAGAAGTATTAATTTTTATTGTATAAAAATATTTTTTACTGCTGATTTTTTGTGTAGTTTGAGATTGTTCAGACTCAAAACTGAAGGACAAACATTACAAACAGAAAACCTCACCGAAAAGTTACAAACCTGGAATCAAAATTCTCACTAATCCTGGGTTAGCTTCATCGGGCTTTGAACAGCCCGGACCACTAGATCTTCAGGAAAGAAATGAATGTACCTTATAGGGGGTTAGAATTAATTCCAAGAATGTTTTCTCGTGTCGAGTCATTGGTTGATATAAGTCACGTGGGCAGGACCATATCTACTGGCTACTAAGCTTGCGCAGCCACACCAGTCATGCGTTTCAGTCAAGAGTGACTGTTCTTTCTTTGTATCATGTGACTGGCTCGTGCAAAGGACCTCTAATTATCACGTGGTAATTTCCATTAGAGACTGGAAATCTGCTATATCGAGATAGCACACTTAGCATCAAACCAGTTGGTGTGTGGTAGGGAGGATTGATATCAACAAAGCATTTTTAGAATAACCACCGAAAAAATCCTCCACGTGCCCATTTTTGCTTAGCCGCCGTGTTCAACTGAAGATGACATGCAGTTAAACTGGCTAAAATTTTACATTGAAACAAGTCACTCCACTGTTTTGTTTCATCTGCGTTTTGTTCAGTCGATGATGGCATTTCGGCGGTCGATATGATGTCCCTTTCCTAATTGAACTGGCCAATGAGAGAACGAAATCATGGTGGGTGTGGCAACTTTTCATGAACTGAACGGTTGTTTCAAGACATAAGCACATTGAAATGTCTATCATAGTGTTCAATTGGATAGCGTAATCGCTCCCTTAATCGGCTTCAACTTTTCCTCACGGAACATTTGTAACCTTCTAGAGGCGAAAATGAGGACTGACTATCGATCGATAAACGCCGTCTGTGTTTGAAGCCAATCAGATTGCTAGTTTGCCAATAAGACGGCCAGTGGTTTAAGCTAATACTCAATAAAGTACTAAAAGTCAGGAAAGCGAGGCATTTGGCCTTGGCTCCAACGCCCCATTGTTAGAGAGGCACGGCCCATTTGCATGTTGTTTTTTACATTTACACATAAACTGCTTAAGGTAACATCAAAGACTCTGTCTAAACCGCGTTTATAGAGCGGGTTTCAATTAAGTACGTTTACGTTTGAGCTCGTTTTGTTTTTCTACGCCAATGATCGGTTTAAAAAACTCACGCCACTTTTTCAACCAATGAGAAGTTAAACCAAAACCAATCATGACTTGCTAGCTTGTTGACTTGCTTGACTCGTTTGCCAGACGTTTTCCCGCGCTTTGCGTCGGCTACACGTGTTTGCTTTAAGTTTTGATTGGTTCACTAGATTGTCTGCGTCTTTCGTGATTGGCCAAAGTGGTTCACGGCAGTCAATTGAAAACCGCCCTAAACAGAGTCTTTGGTTCTGTACAGTGCCGTTGAAAACACACAGGTCGCCACACTGGCTAATAATTGCTTTTGGCAGGATTAACAAACTTGGCAAACATATCAGTTAAAAATATATCTTTAATCTGTTTAGCCTTTAACGAAGTAGTCAAATACAGAGATTACAACCTTGGTAAAGATATACATATATTCTGATTAAGTATGGTTAAAATTGGCAAAACAAAATTAACAGCGTCGATAACGATATGATATCTCAAGATATACGTAAAAATTTTTCTTACAAATCAATATGCTCCTTAAATGCGCTATTTCAATATGAAAACTGTATCTTTTTTTTTTCGTTTATCCTCTATTTTTATCCTATTTACCGCATTCTTGACAAAATTATCCGAGGCAAATCTTTTGGGGTCATTTGATTCACGACTTAATTTTTTGTAACTTGCTTATCGCTTAACAAGGAAATCCCTAAAGGAGTTACGTCACAGTTTGCGCATCATGAAAAGTTAAGCCGAAATTTTTTTTAAGTTAGTCGTTTGTAATCCGTGTTAATCTTCTCCATCCTCCGCCATCTTTGTTCTTTTATTTTTTATTACCATTTCTTTGGTGTTTTTCTATCTTAGTAAGCTATTATTTTCAGGTTTCCTTCAATTCAAAGGCAATTTTGTACGCGGCCAAAATAAATCAAAATACCGTGACTGAGCTTCTTTAAACTGGCTGACGGATTTTTCCGTTTTGATCTAGGTTTTCGTGAAGGAATGTTACTTTTGAAGCGGGATAGGCTCTTAAAGCGGATATTAGCTCGTTAGTTGCCAGGACGTGCTGAACCAAAACAAGACCGCTTGTTCTTTACTTGCGATAAAAAATGGAAACTTTTGTCGTAATCAGCGTCCACACTGCGCAAGAGCAATTTGAAAACGCAGCTTTGTTTCTACGGTTAGGCTTCCCGTCCACGCTAATCCGTCGCGAAAACGGAGATTTTCGAAAACGCTCTTCAAACCAGAGGAATTTGAAAAAGCCGAATTTTCGTGTGGACGGAAAACATTTTGAAAACGGAGCTTCTTCGAAACGAAGGCGTCACGATAATCATGTGATTTTCCTGACTGAGTTTTCCTCAAACACAAATCCAAAATGACCGGTGATTGTTGCGTTTTTAAATTCCTCCGGCGCAGTGTGGACGGAAGACATTTGATACGTTTTCAGAATGAAACTTCCACTTTTAAATTCCTCCGGCGTTATGTGGACAGGGCCTCAGTGTTTTAGTGTAGGTCTAGATGAATACACTATAACTATAAATTTAACTAATAATGTAAGAAGCCAGCGCGCGCTTTGTTTCGCATTACGTACTGGACAAATCACATATACCTTGTATTTAGCCGATATTCTGACCGCCTTATTTTGACCTTGTTTGGAGTTCGTGTTGTCATATCCACGCCAGGCATGTCACAAACTCGTTTATCACAAGCCAAATAAACTCGGCTAGAATTTTGAATAAATTGCAAGAAGGCAAAAGCGCAGAAAAGTGCTACAGCTCTTTACTCGAAATCTTTATGGTAGTTTGTCCAGTTTACATCGTATACCTCGATGGCATGGATATTTTCCGGTTTTTTAATCTTTATCGTCCGAGGTCCAGTAGAGCCAACTATTTTTTTTTTCCTGTATTTTGTTTTCCTCACGGGGGCACATATGCCGGGGGTAGCCGGTAACCTGAATATCCTGGCTTTCGAGGGCTGTTGCTACTGGGAGTTCCTGGAATACTTGGCTGTCTGCTTGAAGTGAAGGAGGGAGCCTGGTACCCGGCCGATGGAGGTGGGTCGCTGCCTGAGTGCTTTAAGGACGGACTTCGCGGCTGCACCGGAGGGGAAAGGGGTGGCTTCTCGTTTGGCAGGACAAGAGGCTGTTTAAGTAACCTTTCTTTGACTTCATATTCTTCCTGAAGCACGGCCGGTTTGCGTTTATCCACGAAAAGTTTCTGATCTTCCAGCGAAAGTTTTCGCTGGCGTCGCGAGCGTATGATAACGAACAGGCAAGCGCCGATGATCAATAACACGATTGCTAAGATCACCACTGGAATGATAATGTACGTCTTCGACACACCCGATCGCTGTTTCGTCACCGCCACTCCATCGCCACCCTTACAAGGTCCAAGGCCTTCATACGAACCAGATTGGACTGGAAAATCGGGTTCAAGAGCTTTCTTAAGATCAGGATTCACACTGTCGCCATCTTCGTCGACATCCTCAGAGACAAATTTTTCCCTGAGTGGAAAATCACAGTCGTCGAATGGGACGGTAGAGGAATCGAACTGGAACTTAGAGATCACGGAGCCCTCAGTGAACGAGACAATTCTCACGCTACTGGAGTTCACTTCAAAATACTCCGCAAGTTTGGAGAGCAGCTGTAATCTGACGTTAAAGTCGCTGGAGAAGGTCTTATAATCATAGTCAAGTTTAAGGCTAAATCGATGATTGTAAGAAACAGAAGAATCACTCAAGATGTTCACTTCAAAAGCGTCATAGCCTTCTTCTCCATCACTGTCAGCAGCAACGAGGAAAAACTCGTGAATTCCGATAGCTCCCTCGTCGACAGCAAAGACAGAGATTACTTGCTTTTCAGGATCGAATTTAATCCAAGGCACCTCGGACAACGGCTTCCACTTATTCGTTTTCAGCGACAGCGTCAGATTAGGTGTGTAGAAGTCTTGGTGATCGTAAAATGTATCCACGGGTATGTGGTACATACGCGCTTGACCGCGATAAACATCTATACGATCAATATGGTTAAGGACTTGTGGATTAGGTTTTTCTGTGGCGGGTGCTTCTCTGGTACTGAGCTTCTCAGATGGTGTTGGTCTTTCTGTGGTGATCAGTATCTCATCTGTGGTCGTCGTTTCTGTAGTTGGTGCTGCTGTTGTCGTCGTCTGTTCGGGTGTAGTCGGTTTTGCCGATGCGGCTACCGGCTTTGTAGTCGTGGTAGGCTCTTCAGTTGTCGTCGGCTTCTCGGTTGTGGTCGGTGGCTCGGTAGAGGTCGGTCGTTTGGTAGTAGTCGGTTTTTCTGTCGTGGTCGGTGGCTTCGTAGTCGTCGGCTCTTCGGTAGTAGTCAGTTTTTCTGTCGTGGTCGGTGGCTCTGTAGTAGTCGGTGTCCTCGTTGTTGTCGTTTTTTCGGTAGTGGTCGGTGACTTCGTAGTCGTCGGCTCTTCGGCAGTAGTCGGTTTTTCAGTCGTGGTCGGTGGCTTCGTAGTGGTTGGTGTCTCCGTTGTCGTCGGTTCTTCGGTAGTGGTCGGTGGCTTTGTAGTAGTAGGTGTTGTCGGTTCTTCGGTGGTCGTCGGAGCCACCGGAGTTGTAGTCGGTGCCACAGTCGAGGTCGGAGCCACCGAGCTTGTTCTAGTAACAGTTATCGTGACACTAGCGACAACAGACGTGGGAGGTGCCACAGTCAAGGTCGGTGTTGGAGTCGCTTGGATCGCTCGAACGTCTCGTTTTGTTGATCGTTTGACAACTTTAGGAGTTTTGTCCTGAACCACCTGCCTGTGGGCTCTCTGTCGAGGCTGTTTGGGGTAACCAATGGATACGTGCCACTCAGTCACAGGAAGACCAAGCACTGGACCAAAGGATCCCGTCTCTGTACTGGATTTGAGGAAAGAAGCTATTCGTACTCCTGAGAAAACATGAAAACAATTCGAGTTTAAAATGTGTTTTTTCAGTGCACTTGCGAGAAACTTGAGAGTGGAGAAAGGTAAAAATCAAGAAAGAGTCCCATGGTTCAAAATAACTTGACCTGGAACCCAATATAACGAATTCCTTTAAAACAAAGTCTCCGAAATAACGGACGATATTCTTCAGTCCGGCCAAAACAGCCGCCAAAACAGTGGAAGAGAACCCCGCTAAAACGAGCCCCTGTGTTATAAGCTAGATTAGCTCCTTATAGTTCTTTTGAGTGGAACTTTATCTACCACGTTACATGAAAATAGGTTTGAAAAAAAAAAGAAATTAAATGTATCATATGTCATAGCTGTTGTTCCCAGTCCCTTTGCGATTCCTCCTATCGCGGTTTCTTTGCAAGAAATTTATCGATCGCTGAACTGATACCGCAATAAATTCTCAGAAAGTATAGAGAGTTATCACTTTGACCCGCGAATAAATGAAGGGTTTCAAAGACATTAATGTACTTTCAAACTCACCAGCAATTGGTATGTCAATTCCACAGCCGATCTGCCAAGAAACCACTACACCAGGCTGCTTGGAATCCCCCACATTGCCTGGCCCTGCTGTGACTGTTATCACATCTTTTAGCCCAAAAGCGGTGTTGTGTCCCTTGCCCGCTAACATGTGAAGATTTTTCACATCCACGTCAACAAAGTCAGCTACTTTGTTCATGATCTCGACTCTCATCTCTCCCGTAACTTTCTCCAAATGATAGTCCAGCACGATAGAGGCAGCTGCCACTGGTAACCCCTTGGGACATTTTGGTTTGGAATAAGAAGAAGTCTTGGTATTGTTAGAGCGTGGCGAAGGCTGTGACACTTCGTCAAGCATGTCTTTTACCTGGATGTTCAGGGAATGTTCCGTATTTCCATCCTTTGATTGAAAATCGATGACAATGTCACCTCGGTCGCGCCATGACGGCACGCCTAGCAGCACAGATTTCTCCTCGATGTAAGACAGCCATTGAGGTAACGAAGCTTGCCCTCTCTGAACAACCTGGTGGGTGGAACATAAAAGGGATAGAGAATACTTTTATCAATGAAAAAACATTCACTTGCTCGTCAAGAAATATGAGGGTAATTTGTCCGTTGGGCTAATCCGATTGAGAATGGCCTTCAGTCCTGAGAAGGGGTCTTGTCGGTCTGAAACCCTGTGAGCACAGTCGTTATATTTGAGGTGGCCTTGGAATGACTATAACTAAGAGATTACGATCATATTCTCTTGCTATAATTCAGATTGCTAGGGAGTCAATCACTAACAAGTGAAAAGGTTACTGATCACTTAATTATTACCACGGACGGATACAGAAATTCTTAGGGTTTGATCACCCTCATGAACGTTAGAAGATGTCGCTGATTTCAGGGTAAGGTGTAGATTTTCACAAAAGTCCTTCGTCTTGTCTATTTATGACCTGCCGGAACTCTCGCGACTTCGATTCATCGCTCGCTCGGCCGCTTCGAGAAGTAAAATCTCGGCGCTCGCTTCGTTCTCTTAGCTATTCTACCCTGCAACTCTTGAGGTCGACTTGTGGCAAGTCTAGGTAGTGTGTAGATCCGGGTTTAAAGACATAGTTTGCTTGTCATAATAACCCAACTCTTGCAAGTGTTTTGGTTAATCATTGACACAACCTTGCAGTGACTTGCCTTCATGTTCACCTACACGTGCGAACGCTTGCCACAGTCGCGTGATCATGGCCGAATTTGTCACACAGGGCGATTCGTCTCGTGCAAGGCACGTTTCTCAACATGATTCGCGCGACATGGTCCCTTCGTTAGGTCAAACACACGCGACTCTGACAAATTCATCATCACGTTTTGAAAACACAAGTCTACACACGTGTTATTACACAAGATTTTCCTTAATTTTTATCTTTGATTTTTTTTTTGAGAGATAAAATGTTCTATAAAGCCTTAAGAACGTGGGCGAACAATGGCCAATTCCCTCTATACCAACGGGCTGCAAAAATCTAGTCGTATTAACTGAGTGGCCTGTATTAAAAGGGTTCTTTAAATAAGAAAATAACTGACTTCGAGCTTTTGTTCCAGCCAGAATAGTGTGGCTATAATGAAGAGGTGGCTGTATTAACGGCGTGGCCGTAAGGCAGGGTTCAGTTCCGCTGTAGTTGTATTCAACAAAACAAATATTCAGTCCAAGATGATGAATACAACTACCATTATTCCCCGTAGGCGCATCGCATGTAGGAAATTGGCCATTAGAATATCATTTCTGTGGAGAAATATGTTACTAAAATATGCACGTGCTAAGTAAAGATACACTTTATGAGTACCAATTTGAAGCTTATACTAATTATGTTTAAGACAGTAAAAATAGAGAACTCCTAGAATCTTATCAATTTTGCCGCAACTGTTGTCGTTCACGAAGTATCTGAAGGGGTCAATATTAAATTTTGGCGAGTTATGGCAGCTTCTTAGCATATGACCTATATCTGATGGCTAATACCATTACTAATTTAAAAAAACTGCTTGTGCGCTAATCCGCTAATTAGTCGTTCTAGCTGATATTTATGTGAAATCTTGACGTGTCTTCACCATGCGAAACAAGGAAGCGTTCACTTAAGTTATTCAATGTAGCTTTGACTCAAACTCCCAGCGACAGATTTCCTTGAAATATAATAGTCAAAATATGCCGCTGGTGAAAGTTTCTGTTGTTATTCAAACACTGGTTACGAGGGTTGAACAGAAAGAACCACTGAGTTGATACTTCCTGTCATATAAGCCATGATTTCGACATGACTTCCCTTGTGATATGGGTTGGGCAAGCAGCCAGACATATTTATACATATATGCTCAGAACAATGTAACAAATGCGGACAAATTCAAAACACCACTGTTAAAATTAGACCTTTCCAGAATTTCCGATATTGACAGTAAGGGAAATAATAAAATTTTGGTCAAATTGTGGTCGACAATGCGGTGACGCACAACGCCTTGATTTGACAGGACCTTTGACACGACATACATCAGGTGATTAATCGTTGAGAGGGGAAACCGCAAGCCACAAAAGTCGAGTCGCGGGTATGGAAAACCATTCTCTTTGCAAATGGAGTCTCAATTACGGCATCTATAAATCATGTTTTAAGCAGATCTGCCTAAATAGATATCATTGAAATTGACTTTTAGATCACAGAAATCATTTGGAAAATGTAATCAATGTTTTGTTTTCGATTGATTTTCGAGGTGGAGTTGGGCGAGATTAAATCAGTCCGGAAGTCGTATTTGCCAGAGGCCAGACGTCATATGTAACACAGACAAACATGAATTGTCCACTACAAAAACACAAATCGCTCAACAGATTTTCTTTTTCTTTTCCTTCCTTTTCAAGCCTGATAACAACATCGCAATGTTTCATTAAAGTCGGCTCATTTAGTCACAGATGAATTGATAAAACAGATCCTTGACGAATCATAAGAGCGCGGTTTTGAAAGAATTTCTAGCTATGAGTGGTATGCCCTCTGCATTTCATCTATTTGACACTTCAATGGGTTTAATATCTCTATTCTACACCCTAGTTTTTTGTCTCTGCCAAACCGCAACAACGGGGCGCTACAGAACAAGAAGAAGCCGTTTTATAAAGAAAATTTATATGCCGCAGAATGTGTCCTTAAAACGCTTGCTTCAGCGGGTTAATCGCGAATTTGACAGACGCGTGGCCTACCCTAAAACCGGCGCCAAGAATTTTGATGTTATTCCTCTTAGCTGTCATGCTTTCTCGATAAAAAAAATTTGCATGTATTTAAAACACGTTAGCTTTCAAGCCAGCGTTTTATTCATCCTGAATTGCAACTCACTGTGTTTGCGGCACTTATGTAGTAACCGCTATTATATTTGCAGTGACAAGCATGCGGCCAATTCAGTGCTAACTCAATACACTCGTAATGATTCAAATGCTAGGATTACATTCTTTATTTCTGCAGAAGGATGAATTACTTTAGTTAACCCCCATGTGCCATGTGCCAAGCGGAAAAAAAATAGAAATTGCTTGTGCCAAAAATCTATCGTAGGGACTGTATCAAACAAGTCAAATAAATTTCGCAACACAAATCCGTTTGTGTGGAAACAAAGATCAATGTGTATTTATTTTACCCCACAATTTATTTAAAAGAAAGGTCGGTATGTCGTTTTAGTTAGCACCCCGCTTACAACTCAACACTTACCTTGTATTCGTCTTTATGCCCTGCCTGGTTTGACAGAGAATATACAAAAGCCCTTCCAACAACTGCTACGGCACTGTCGATTCTCTCATTCGACGGCAGAATGTCGCTTTGTTGGTTTTCTCCAGCGGCGAGCGCTACTGAAATTAGCAATAAACCAAGAAGAAACGCTGCTGAGTTCATGGCCAAGGTCTTTGACAGTCTGACTAGCCTCTGTACAACGCAGTATCTCTGTGAAATAGAACGGGTTAAAGAGATTAATCAGCGTCGGTTACAGTGAGTCCTTGTATTTCAGAAGAATACGTGCAATCTCGATGACTCCTCGATCGCTTACTTGGCTCGGCTGCTAAAGGAAATGGTTAACGAGTAAATATTAACAAATATCCGCCCATCTTCTGAAGGGCCGATCGATGACATACGGTTGTTCTATAATTTTTATATTTATACCTCGCGGCTCTGTTTCTTTGTTCGGCTAGTAATCTGCCAGCTGAGCCTTAAATAAGCACCAAGATTAACACACAAGAATAATATTTGCACCTTAAAACCCAAAAAGAAGCCGTAGTGAGGTACAGAGATTAGTTTATGTGCATTTTGACGGAGACAGAAATTCCAAGTAGCTGGATTTAACCACAACACATTCCACGCGAATGAAAAGCCATGGGTGTTTCATTCAACCTGAAAGATTGCAAAAATAGTCAAAAAACCCACCGATGCTGTCCAAGTTTTGTGAAAGCCGGAGAATCGCGCGTTTTCCGCTCACCCGTCAAGCTTTACACTCAACTACAGCATGGAATCTTCCAAAGTTTACAAACAATGAGAGTCGAATTAATTTCTCGAATAACCGGGTAGTGTTACGCTTGATTTAATCGACTTCTATCATATGTTTTCCCTCTCGATCTTTTACAGCGTCGCCACGCTCCTGTAGATCTGACCTTTCGATGACAGAAGAAATAGATGGATGGAATCCTACACCAAATGGTGTCGAATTGCGTTGGATGTGATGACAGCCGATGGACGAAAGCTGCGCTATTTAATTTTCCCGGTCACACAGGAGTGCCTTCTCTTGCTCAAAACACCAAATATTCACCTAACCGGGTGATGGGATTCCCGTTATAGATAAGACTGGCTAAGAATTCGTTTTAAGGCTAAGTTAATCCCTTTAAAATTAGATTTATGTTTTCTTTAGAAACAGAAGGAATTTGGAAGAAAACGGAAGATTTTCAGTATCAAATGTCACATTTTTTACCCGATAGCTGGCGTGCATCTGAAAGGCTTCGCTCAGTAGTCACTGGACGAAAACTCCTTGCTTGACTGAGTTTCAAAAACTAAACGGCTTGACTAATGAACGCTGACGTTTGTTCTAACAAATAACATCAATTATGCGCAGTATTCTTGTAGTGTATTTATAAACAGACACAATTTTCTGACCTTGTTAACAAAGGACAGCCAGCTCGAGTCCTCGAGTGAAAGAAGGGTTGGACACCGGGGGAGACAATTCTTATCTTGAGATATTTTTGTTGGAGTTGTCGGGAGTTGTCTAGCACACTAGAGCTTGGCAGGTCGTTGTTTGTTTTGAGAGTTTGGTTTCGGGGTTTTTAAAAGTTTTAATAGCTCTTACACACTGTGAAAGATCTGGTTTACTGCCTACAAAATCAAAAAACGTCTGAGACTATTTAATTCACTGTATAGGACTTGAGAAATTACCGATGTTAATCTTTTTACCTCCCTCGAAGAAAGAAAAAACACACAGCCACAAACCGTAAAGCAGGAAAACTTAATACAACGAGTAAATATATACACAGAGAAGCAAACATTGCTTCTGAACAATGCATTCCTAAAGTCCTTCGAGTAAAATCAATTGAGCTCAATTGCCAAATTCAATTATTTGGGACGAAAATAAAGTAAATCCTTTGGGTGATTAATAATGCAATAAAAGCCATTACAGCACATATGATGTTCGGGATAAACTTCGTTTCATAGTTAATCAGCTTTGTTTTGCTGCTAAAACAAACCATATATATAAAGCTAAATAAAATGGACAGACACAGGATAATCAAATCATGTCTGACTCTGAAAAGATCTGAAAAGATTTGGGATATAAGAAATCAAACCAGCTGTGAACAGGCAAATGCAGTTTTATTCAGACACGTAGTGAAAAGAGGCTACATGTGTAAAGCCACCGGCTTCAAAGACAGTTGCAACTGGAGCAGCTTGCAAACGTCTGCATGGACCAAAATTCATTAACAACCCAACAATTACCGATATATCTACACTAACAGATTGTCGGTCCGTGACCACCTAAGGGTCACCGTGAGAAACTGATAAATGAACAATTCTGATATCTGACGTTATCGCCTGTCTCACCTTATTAACTGGAATCGATAAGGTTATCGCTGCAGTGAAATCTGCTAAAGTCCATTTCTGTGGTTCTTAGCAGTCGACATTGAATTAAACCAGGTGCAGGCTATCTGCGCGTGTGCAATACTCTCGAAATTTCAGTCGATAATGATAACACTTCATTTTCAAATGGTGGTAAAAACAGCGGAGTGACAGCAATTTTCAAAAAGGAAACTTCAGCTGCAAATGTTCGACGCTTGTACATTTGAATTTTCACTGTATCCATGATTACTTTAATTACACCGTAAGATAAATATTGGAATACACTGGGAACAAGGGATTTCGCGCGCGACAATAGCAGTTGAAGCAGAATCAAAAACACTAACAGCAAAAAAAAGAACAACACAAACAATCATCAACAGAAAAAGTATATATATATATATATATATGTGTGTGTGTATATAATAAACAATAGTAGCAAGACTTCAATTCATCGTTTTATTGCAATAAAACGATGAATTGAAGTCTTGCTACTATTGTTTATTATCTACACTGCTCCTCTCAGAGTCGAGCGCTCTATAAATTTATTCTGTTCAAGTTCATGAAGTATATATATATATCTATCTAGAAATAAGGAAATAAAATAAAATAAACAAAAAATCAAAAAGAATTAAAAAGGAAGAGACAAATCTAAGTGCCTGGGTTGGTTTAGAGTTGGACTGTTCCCACTTAATATACAGCACTTCCGTCTTTTATCTTACCTTACTTGAAAACTCGAGGCCGGAGAGTCTAGAATCGTGAAAGATTCTGCAGAGCACGAGTCACGACAAGTCCCTGATGACTGTAAGTGCTTGAATTGTAAACATGCGAAGCCCTGTCCGACACAAGGTGCTCTCCTGGTGCTCTCCGACACGTGTACAAATGTGGCGAGTGGTCTCACCAATGTAGCAGGAATTATAGCCAGCACATGTCAATTTATAAACGACACGCGAACGGAGACTCTGCCTCAAGGAATCTTTCACGCTGAACATGTCTGTAACCTTAAATGTAGTGAAACTAACTTAATATCTAAATCAGCTTTGCAATAACGTTTGAGGAGCTGTCAATCTTCGTTTTCAATTTTTCAGAAAAAAAAAATGAAATAGAGAAAGAAAATAAATTAAAAGAAACAAACAAAACAAACAAACTTCATTTCCATTTTCCAATTCCCCTTTAGATGGTTCGACCCATATTACACTTGTCCTTATTCCGGTCAGTGTCATTATTGTATTGTTACCTTTCTTTATAGTCAGTTTTTTATTTTGTTTATTTCTGCCTTTGCAGACATGTTTTTCTTCACGCTTTTCATAGGCTCCTAGGCTTCTATTCAAAACTAAAGTAGTCTTTCGAGGAAATATTTTGCATTATTTATTTGTCTTTCGTATTTATTTTTAGCCAATTTTGATCTAAGTACCGAAAGATAAGACTTTAGCTGACCACGCCTTATATATAGTGGGGTCAGTAAGAACTGTGTTTCCATTAACCTTGTCTTCTTGATACGCCGAACAGTTGACAGTTGACAGAAATACATTTTTATGGGCGTCAATCCGCAAGTTTCACTACTCAGTTCTCTTTCTTCATCTCGTTATATACTAAAAAACTGTTTACATGTAATAAGGTAAATTCATCCTAAAAATAATGATCCTCTTTTCTGTCGATAACAAAGTTATTAGAAGAGTGTCAACCTCCAGTAACCATGCCGCATTCTTTGGAAGGTTCTCGCGTGACAAGGTTCTCATGGCGGTCTCGAAGATTACGTGACTCGAACTTTTGCGTTAGGCTTTGGCTGGCAGTGATGAGTTGTGATTGCGCGAGAAATGAGGTGTGGGCAATACCTCGCTTCCGCCTGAAAGCGGATGTCTGAATGGAACAACTAATCTACTTGGCATTCACAGACCGCAAGTACGTTTGTGGCTTAAATTATTACCTTAGATTATCCTAATGGCAGTTCCGGGAGGAAGAGTGTGGTCAGTAGAGCAACGCCAAACCAGGTTTGTTTTTACTTTCACAGCAAGTTTTTTTTTCCCCTTTTTTCCTCTTTTTTTTTTTTTTTCCGACAAGGAGTGATTTCTATACCAGGAGACGGTCGAAACTCAGATAAAATTCAACTACGTTTTCATTTCCTGCTGAGAACGCCTCAAGGGCAGGAATAGCCTGAAATGCCAGTCATCTTCCGCCCTCAACCTAATCCCCGGGCGAGAGAGTCTCTATCCCGGGGGATTACGCTGAGTGTGTGTGTGTGTGTGTGTGTGTGTGTGTGTG